CTTCTGTTAGACATGTGAATGCCTGAAGCTGTGATCAATCTCCCTTTGAAGAATAGATTTCCTTCAAAAACTAATTTCTTCCAAAAACATATGCAGCAGGCATTACACTATTGGCATGCTAATGAAGTGAAATCTTTCCAACTGGCTGTCATCTTCCTATTTTTCTTTCTTCTTTTGGATAACTGTCAGTGGTCCCAAGCAAATAACTAGCTCTTACAAACTCATCTATAAAAGAAGGGAAACACAAAATAGAAATTTTCTAAGGACCAACTAGCCAGTGTCTCAATCTTCAATTACATGTTTTTATAGTGCCAGTTTTGAAATCTGGGCATTTAGAATTACGTCTGTGTTTATATAGAAAGGCTAAAGAAGAGCTAGATTTTCAAAAGACGTTAGAATTTCTGCAGTTCCCATTCACTTCTTAGGACTCAGAGTACTTCAGCAAATCAGGATATTCCGCTTATGAAACTCAGGTGTGGACAGGCCTATTTAAATTTAGTATTTACTGTAAGTCTTATTTAATTTAAAAGCTAAGAATTACATGCTGTAGCCAAATACGGAAAAACCTCCAAATTACTTGTTCAGTATTTCATATAAAATGTCATAAAGAAACCTGCTATTTCATACAGCACTGTCATATCTGCAGCTATTCTTTGTTTATGTCAAACTGAACAAACTATTTAAGGAGAGGCTTTATGTCTCCTCTGAAAATTCCTAACCATCGAGAGGATTAATCTTGTGAGAAATTATTACCAGATCTGGTTGGTTGCACTTCTGTCATACCAGATGTTTTGGATCCTGAAGAAACAGGCTGTGTTTCCTCAAAAGCTGAAAAAATAATCTGAGTTTAAAATGCTGATAGACCTGTGATTTAATGGATTAGCATCGAATAGCTTAGTGAAGGCTGTGCAATTCCAGATGATGCTAATGCAAAGCTAAGCAAGATAGCAGATGGCCTGAAAGTGAGACATGAGACAACTGTGCCATGACAAAAGGAGATGATGGCTTGCAATACCATCCTCTGGCCTCGAAATTTGAGTTCTACATGCCCAAAAGAATTTTTATCAGCAAGAAATTTTATCATATTAAATTTTCTGGGATAAGAGCTGCAGCTATACAAAAAGAAATTAGCTAACGATGAGGTATGACAACACTGCCTCTAAGCAGTTTTTAAGTCAGTGACAAATATGTTTTTCAGCTGGTTGCACAGACATAAGAACGGTGAATAAGCAGCTCTGTAAGTGTTGGTAGCCAAGATTCTAAAGCAGATCTTAAAATTACCATTTGCAGATCTATGAGATGATAAGATAATGGAAAAAAAACGCGGAACTAATCTGCTTATTACCCATGTCCATCTCTCTGGTTTCTGCAGAAGGTAGAGTTACGGATTTCAAGGCTGGACTCTGAGTAGCTAAGACCAAACATGAAAAAAAAATTCGTGATACAAAGACAGACACTCTCCTTGCAAGTGTTACGAAATCTAATTTTAACTGTAACTAAGTTTTTATTTTGTTTGAAGGTCTCTTTTTGCTATTAATTTTTAACCCGTTCAAATTTAGCATACATTATCTAATGAGGCTGAACCCATATCACATATTTTTCTTCACAGTGAAGCAACCCAAACATGATATGTTTGGTCTACGCAGCACTTGCAGGTCTGTATAAACTGGTTACTATTACATTATGTGTAATTATTTTAAGAGGAGGTATAACGGTAAAAGATTAAAAAAAAAAAAAAAAAAAAAAAGAGTAGTACAGCAAGGTCAGTGAAATAATCATGAAAGTTTATAAAGAGCATCTTTTATTCATTATGCTGTTATGAAGACTATTACAAAGAACTTATGGTTATTTCACTTTGAAGTATGGATAATCTGAAGTGTGCTTTAATGAAAATGGGAAATCAAGGTGGAATTGGGCATTCTTACCTAAAGACCATCATGAACGGGTTTCCACCACCTGTAGGTTTTACACTACTGACCTGCTTTTCTATTCAACTGTGTATACAGGCCAGTAAGTACCATTCTTTCCAGTAAACATATCTGCACCAGTCACTTATACCCATTTAGGTTATAATATATTTTAAAATTTTTATCTATATTTTTAATTGGTCTTTATCAAGATGAGTTTTTTTGAAAAGCAGTTATAACAGAATTTTAAAATCAAACTTCTCTGAATACTTGAGATTGAGAAAAACAATCAAACAACTAGGTGTAGGGCTCATTTCTAATGTAGGCATGAATAAAAGTCTAATCACTTTTTGGCTTATACTTCATATATTGGATCTACTTTCCCATTTACTTTCAATCCAGTTTATCACATTAACAAATATGATCTCAGGTTACTATCCTGATACATTTGGACTCAGCAGTTGGACCAGATGCTCATTGTAAGTCCCTTCCAACTGCAACTATTCTATTCTATTCTACACTTACAGAGAAGAAATACCAACAAAAGCTGTATGGTTCACAGCTTTTGGCAAAAGCTTCCATTGATCCATTTACATCCAGTAAGAACTATGAGAGATCTCCCAAAGGCATCTGAATGTTGAAGGCATGTTAACAAAGCTATCTTTTCAGTAAGGTTTGAATTCAAAATATACTGACCACACAGAAAGCCTACAAAACAAAGGAGATGTCTCCCTCTGGTACAATCAAGATAGAAAAATAAAGAAAAAAAGCTTTCACGGGAACTAGGGCAGAAGACAGGTCACACACACTTAAACTTCAGAAATTAAGTTTTGCTTTCTTTGCTGATTTTATGACAGCAGGTCATCAAGGCATGCAGAGGCACAGTGCAGAGAAATCTCTGTACGACCCCCTGCCTCGCTCTCACAGAATATCTTTGACTTCAGCATTGACTTCATGGGGAGCACAGATGCTCCTCACATAATTAA